GTAAATTTATAAACGGATGCGGAATTACAAATATGCTAGTTGATACAGGAATTTTGGCCCAAGGTTCTGTTAATGGATTCATATCAGGATCACATTTTAATAGGTGCAGAAAATATCATCCACTTGTTTCAGCTGCAATTCAAATCATGCATTTTGAAAGTTTCTTGCAATCGAAACATATAATTGAAGTTGATAGTAAGATTAAGGACTATTTAATGGAGTTTCAAGAAACTAAGAGTGAACACCCAAAGATTGAAAATGAAATGTTAAAAGAACTTCTAAGCGATTATCAACATTTTACGGAAGCAACATTAAACGGAGAACATGGAAAAACACCGCAAATTTATTTAATGTACGTACAATTAATAGACTACTATCTTCATTTAGAGAGGAGTATTCGGCAGGGAAACTTTGAATTATTCAGATATATTTTACCAAAGCTGACAAATCTATTTTTTGCCTTCAACCAGCCCAATTATGCAAGATATCTCGTTTTGTACCATAATAATTTATTAAAAGTGGAGACGACTCACCCAGGATTAGAAAATGAACTTAAACGTGGTTCTATAGGTATAAAGAGAACAACAAAACCTTTTTCAAGAATTCCAGTCAATTTAACTCTTGAGCAAACTATTAATGCCGATGCAGCTCGAAGAACTTCAGGAGTAATAAACTTGACAAATTCATTTTCTGCCCGCCAAAAATGGGCTGTCACGCATTCTTTGAGAGCAGCATTATCTACACATTTATTGGAAGTTTGCGATTTGAAAAATGACCAGGACGTTACGAATGATTTAAAAAATTCAATAATTAAAAAACGAACAAATGATATTCACAAATTCATCAATAACGTAAAAGAATGTACAAATCCGTTTTCCAACATGCTGCATAATGATCATTTATATAATATAGCAAGCGGACAATCTATTGCAGAAGATGTATATAATTTCTTGTCACGTGTTGAGGTAGTTGGCGAGGAGCAACGTCAACGATTCATAGCGGATTGTAATACAGACGAAAACAACTTCGAAAACCGAATTAGATTTAATAAAATTCTAAACTTCGAATCTGCAAGTAAAAAGAAAGTTAAAATTTCAGGTAAAATTCAAGAAATTAAAATACAGCGGTACATTTTCGGGAGATTACTTTATGTTTCGCAACAAAATAAGATCGATATAGATAAAACATTATGTTACCCTTTAAGGGGATGCTGGAGTCACGGGCGAACTCGATCAGCGTCGATAAAGAAGTGCTCACCGATTCTCACATATACATACAGAGCGCAGGCAAACTCGACCAGCGTCGATAAAGAAGTGCTCACCGATTCTTACACATACAGAGCGCAGAGTTTTTGGCTGAAATCGGGGAGACGCGTAACATGTGCATATGAAATTTTCTAACATACTTTTCTCTTATACTAAAGCTCGCAGCTCATTTCTGCAAGCACAGGATTCTTCTTTATTGTATTTCCGTGACGGCTGCAAGGTTTTTGTATACGTACACAGTCTAAAACTTTTATCTGCAGCAAATGTTGTCATGAGTCGACCGCAGAATCAAAAATAAAAATGTAATTTTTTAATTTTTTTTTGTTTTTCATACGCAATTGGTGCCTGCCGTCTTCGTTATCGTCCATACTTTAATTCTGGACAAAAAATTTGTAATTCGGTGAAATCAATCAAAAGATTTGTGTGTCTGAAAATTTCGTGGTAAAACAGACCTGTCTCCAGCATCCCCTTAACTCCAATTCCCTTTTCATTATGCCACCTTGACGGCAATATTTGTAAAACACCAAAATCTGTGCTTCTAAAAGAATTAGAAATTCATCAAAGCTGTCCAGATCGACCAGATCCATACATTAATGTAATCGACGGCTTTTTTTTCTGCATCAAATGAAACAAGTTCCCATAATATACAGAAATATTTCAATAAAAATTTTACGAGACATAACATCCACAGGAAACGAAATTCACCTCATTTTCGATAAATTTAATTCTCCGTCAATTAAAGACTATGAACATTCGTTGAGGGATGAAAACGACATTCAGTACAATATTACGAGTAAGGGTAAACGCTCAGAAGATTTTTGTAAACAATTACGCATCAGACATTTTAAAGAAAATTTCATTCAGTTTTTATTAAACGATTGGACAGATCCTGATTTTGTTAAAATATGTGAAAGAAAAATAGTGAAAGTAAATTATGATAAGTGCTACGTTTTTCAAGTCGTCAATGGTAGAATGTCGAAAACTATTGACATGGAATTAACATGTACACACGAAGAGGCTGATACCAAAATTGTATTTCACATTTGTCAGCTGCTGGTAAATGTGCGAGTCCAAATACGTTGCTCAGATACGGATGTTTTGATCATCATGTTGGGCAACATGAATCATTTAAAATCAAAATTAGAAATTTATATGCACATTGGCACCGGAAACAATCAACGGTATATAAATATTAATGACCTGCATGCAAATCTTGGCGAAAAGTTATGTAGCGCTTTACCTGCCTTCCATGCTTTTACGGGATGCGACTTCAATCCCTCGTTTTTTAGAAAAGGAAAAAAGCGCCCATTTACATTGCTTAAAGGGAATACACGTTTTCAAGAAATGTTTACAGCGCTGGGGTCCGAATCGCCGAACTCAACTCAGCAACAAAAGCTGCAAGAATTTGTTTGTCGAATGTACAGCCTTCAAACAAAAAATAATGTCAATGAAAGAAGGTGCGAAATATTTTTCAAATCCTACCGTGTTCAAAATTTGGATGACAAATTAATACAAAAATCATTAGCACGTTATGACGCTTCACATTTACCACCGTGCGAACGAGAATTAACACAACATATTTTGAGATCACATTACATTGCTTCCATATGGACCAACGCACACCTTAAAATCCCAACAGTTTTGAATCCCGAAAATCATGGGTGGGTAAAAATTGACGATAGATACGAGTTCTTTTAGTTTGATGGAGATCAGCATCCCTCGATGAAAGAAATAATAACAAATACGGATTCAGGTAAAATTTTATATGATTTAACTTTTAAAGGACCGGGATTTCAACATTTCTGAAAGCTCATTATTTATGTTGATACGTAATCTGACGTCAAAAGAGTAACCCATATGGCTCCATCCCGATCCTCTAAGAGTTAAATGTAAAAACGTTCCAAACGCATACCTCTAAAAATGTGATGTACTTGTTACAGATTCCGAAACTGAGAGAGAAGAAACACTTTATTCAAGTGATAGCGAAGATGAAGATTTTTAAACAAAATGCATTTTTGTGTGTGTGCACATATATGTATGTTTTTGTAAAATAAATATTCATAATTTTCGTGGAAAAAATTTTATAGCAAATTTGTCAAAATGCCGCTGAAAAGTACAATAATAATAGTCACAGCATTATCATTGCTAGAAAGCTAACATGTCTCAATATTTTCATCAGACACGTGTGAAAATCGAAAGTATATAAAAGTTCAAAGAATTTGACAACTTTGTCCGACAGAAATACTCCAGTAAATAGTATCACATGTCCAATAATAATAATCACAACATTATTTTTGTCAAAGAGCAAATGTGTCCCACTATTTTCATCAGACACGAGTGAATATCGTTAGTATATAAAATTCCAAAGAATTTGACCACTTTGTCCGACAGAAATACTCCAGTAAATAATATCACATGTCCAATAATAATATTTACAATATTATTATTGTCAGAGAGCAAATATGTCCCACTATTTTCATCAGACACGAGTGAATATCGATAGTATATACAATTTCGAACAATTTGACCACTTTGTCCGACAGAAATACTCCAGTAAATAATATCACATGTCCGATAATCATATTTTCAACATTATTTTTGTCAGAGAGCAAATATGTCCCGATATTTTCGTCAGACACGTGTGAAAATCGAAAATATATAAAATTTTGAACAATTTGACCCCTTTGTCCGACATAAATACTTCAGTCATTAATTGATGATTAATTAACATAACAAAGACGTCAGAGAGCGGTTCTGTCCCACTAAAATTGTCGGACAAGGTTATATACTTCATCCTTAATATATTATTAAACTGTAAAATAAAATTCAGCTGTAAGAAAATCAGTCAAGAGTAAAAAAAAAATTACCAATTCCAAATGGCAGACACGAGTCATGTCCCAACTTTTTTGTCGGACAACTCATTTTTTCTTGTTGAAATGGTTTAAATAATCAACTGTAAAAAAATCAGCTGTAATGAAATCAGTCAATGTCTTTGAAAATTAATACAAGTTACAAAAATTCTGTTCGCTCTATGTCCCGCGGACAGACTCTGCCACCTGTCTACATTTGGCAGACATGACCATAATAACTCGTGGAAAAAATTTCAGGCGTAAGAAAATCAGTCACCTAAAATTCCGCTAGCTCCTAGACTATCAGGCCACTTGAAATTTAAGGTATCGTATATCGTAAACTATGAAGCGATGCTCCGGCGACGCTCGCCTATTCGTATATCGTAAACTATGAAGCGCTCGCCTTTGTAACGTGAGACTTTGCTGGAAGCGACTATCAGTTTACACGACCGCCATTATATTTTTCTCTGGCGACTTCAGTCTCATCGTAGCCGTGAGCCTGCTTAAACGTGTTTTGCCCAAAAATATTTTTTTCGAGGATTAGTGACGCCTTTGTAATTGTTTTTTACTTTCTTGTTTGTGATGTCTCCAAACCATCCCCCGTATGAGGCTAAATACGTAAAATTAAGTGAAATTGTGGGAAGTGCCGCAGATTTAAATGATTTTAATTTTAATTTTAACGACTTTGATGATTTTAATTTTAACGACTTGGATGATTTTAATTTTAACGACTTTGTCGCTGCTCTCCCGCGTCTCCCGCGTATCCCGCGGACGATCGGTGGCGGACGCGGGCTTATCCCCCGCGGGCGGCCGGTACTAAATGTTAGTATCGCGGAATTTTTCGATTTTGACTTTGATATTGATAATTTTGAATCTGAAGTTATAGACAATAGTGATAGTAGTGATAGTGAGATTCAGGAGGAGAGGTCCGCTGCTCCCCCGCGTCAGCCACCCGCGCCCCGGCTCCCAACAGCTCAGGTGGGCACGCCACCCGGTATCTCACGCGGGCGAGCGCTACGGATCGCTCTCGGCAGTGATAGTAGTGATAGTGAGATTCAGGAGGAAAGGTCCGCTGCTCCCCCGCGTCAGCCACCCGCGCCCCGGCTCCCAACAGCTCAGGTGAGCACGCCACTCGGTATCTCACGCGGGCGAGCGCTGCGGAACGCTATCGGCCTCCCAACAGCTCAGGTGGGCACGCCACCCGGTATCTCACGCGGGCGAGCGCTGCGGATCGCTCTCGGCTTCCCAACAACTCAGGTGGGCACGCCACCCGGTATCTCACGCGGGCAAGCGCTACGGAACGCTCTCGGCCTCCCAACAGTTCAGGTGGGCACGCCACCCGGTATCTCACGCGGGCAAGCGCTGCGGAACGCTCTCGGCCTCCCGGCCATCGGACGCGGGCGGGCACAAATTTACGCCGACTCCCTCACGCAGGGTCGCGCGTATCGTCCAACCGCGGAAGACGAAAGATTGGCGGACGAGGCGTTCGACCAATTGGAATTGATGGCTGCGTTGAGACGGATGCCGGCGGGCCGCGGCCATGGCCCCCCCCTCGTCAAGATTAAGGTATTTTTTTTTAATTTTTTTTTTACCTAAAAAATTAATAACGTGGGAGCGAGAGAGAGAAACCGCGCGCGAGGAAGAGATAACGGCAAACAAGACGCGGGCGTTGGACGCGGACCCCCATCCTCCCGCGGTGCGCCGCCGATAAAATTCCAGTAGCCGAACGGCGCCCGTTAGCCTTCGTAATACCCCGCGCCGATAAAGTGATGCCCCCCCCCCCCGCGGACCACCTCGCTCTAGAACGCGGACACTCCCCCCCTCTCGGCGGTACCCTTGTCAACGATATGTTTATTAACATTTAAGGGGTCATGCCTAGTCAGGAAGCCGAAAAATAGGTAATTTTTAAGAATTTTTTTTGCATAAACTATAAGACTTGTTTAAAATTGAGTTGGTCTATGTGAGAGAATATATTTTTATGAATGTAACATAATTTTTTTAATAAAAAATATTAATAATTAAAAAAAATACAGCCATTCTCCTGAAGGTCTTTTTAAAAAACTGGTTTTGCAGTGACCACTACTGCTCGGATCTGGATCATCTGAAATCAAAGAACCAAAAAGATTCTGTTAGTATATGAATATATCTTCTTCGTGAACGAAGGATTTTTTGAAAAAATAATTTTTGACAAAATGGCGGCCGTTTTAAGGAAACATGCAATTTTTCGGGCTCTTAATTTTTCGTTTTTCTTCAATAAAAAAAAAAGTTTTCATTAAAAAAAAACCCTTCGTTCACGAAGAAGCCCTTAATACACAGAATAAGTACGAAAAAATTTAGGTCGATTGCTTTAATGGTTCTCGAGATATCGTGGTCACCGCACGGGACTTTTTAGAAAAATGTAATTTCGAGAAAAACGCGTTTAAAGTTTGTGGTCTAGTTATCAGTAGAATATAATTTAATTTTTTTAACTTACACAGAATCATCGATTCCAGGCCCATAAAGTAAGCCTTCTGCTGCCGAACCCACCTCCAAAGCATCAATTTTCTCCTGTCTACGACGCTTTCTGGCCTCTCGTGTATTTTCTTGCGCGCGGCGCTCGGCAGTGGCGACGCGTTCCTGGTCTTCGTCTGCCACGAATGCATGGGCATTTGGGCCAATAGAAATTCCCATTGCTTGCATTATTTGTAACATAGCTTTTGAGCCATCGTTAAAAACACAAGCTGACACATATGCAGCTATTTCAATTGGTATTAAGCCGCTTGGAAGAATTTTTGGACTGATTTTTCAAATCAGTTGATTATAACTTTCGTTGTTATTTTGCGTGAATCTACCAACACATTGATCTAATAACTCTTGTTTACTCAAGTCCTTGTAAATTGGCTTGATGGCCATCAAAACATTAGTCGGCAAAGCGTCGTAGGTGTGTATAAAACTTTTTATTTTTTGCTTCTGATCGCTTGGTAACTCTGCGTACGCGCGCTGCCATTCGCATTATTGCATTTTTTGCACTTCACAAGCATTGCAATAGCCGAAAATACAGAAACAAAATTGATAATTCTATATTCTATAGAATTATCTTGCGGCACCATGATCTTTTTCTGCAACTCGATTTTTTTTCTAGATGCACTAAAACTTACTTCGTTTATTTCCGCTGTCTTAGGGTTGAAAGATTGTTTTCGTTTCTTTGACCTTGATTTGCGCGCTCCTAGCAGTGCTCTTTTGATTCGTGTGACTTTTCCATCCGAATTCATCGTAAAAAATAAAGCGAACACGCAAAAATTAAAGCAAAATACAGCAAAATCGAAGTAAGGCCGACCTTGAGCGCGCAGCTGCTGCGCGCTGCTTGCCGCCGCGCGCTATCTGCTCTCGGAGTGGTACGTTCAAATTCGCATAACTTTGTCAATTTTCGTTTGATTGATATGAAATTTTCAGAAAACATTCTTGAAATGGCGTACTTTTAGAATATGCAAAAACCTAAAAATCGATTTTTTCGACTTTTCTAACTAGGCATGACCTCTTAATGAACATGTCCCGACATGCTCGCCGACCACCCCCCCGCGGATCACCCGCGCCCTCGAGTCCCCCCCGCCCCGCTCCCCCCTCGCCCACGGTACCCTTTCCCCGCCTTTTACCCCCTTCAGATCCCCGAGTTAGATCTCTCAAAATAACTCCTACTACTATATATTTGCGAGCAGCGGCCGCACCTCGCAGTGAAGCGCCTCAGAGCGACAGAAACGATTCAGTAGATAAGGAACAGACGAGCTCTAAATGAACTGCCTTTGTAGCAAAGCAAACAAAAAGGCACACGTAAGCCTTGAACGGGGTTGCTTTGCGAGAACGACGATTGTAAACCAAAAATGGTCCAGCATAGTCGACTCCAGCGATCGAAAAAGGCTTAGCCTGACGGACACGATCCAGTGGCAGATCCGCCATGGGAGAGTGTACCGTACGTGGATTTGCCCAGAAGTTCTGCAATAAGATATAATGTAACGCTCAATGTCCCGGATGCAAGTGTAAACGATGAGTGCGCTCTATTATAAGTTTCGTTAGCCGATGTTTGCTAGGTAACAATGCTGGGTGCCTGGCTTCATACAAGATCGCGGAATGTGTTATCTACCGCCCACCCCGAGGACTCCGCGAGTATCCAAGAAGGGGGCGAGATTTTGCAGGGGTTTGGAGCAATTCTGATTGCGTTTTAATCTATTGATGTCTTCTGCAAAACAATAAGATTGTACGAATTTGACGAGAAATAGTAAAGTCAAATGAAATTTGATTTGACCTACCGCGAGTGTTCTATTGCGCGAGTTCGATTTGAGTCGGTTAACGAAGCATAAACAATACGCGAGCACTCGAATAAGTTTGTCCAACGACGAAAAGCAATCGAGAAGCGAATCCACAATAGTGGCATCGGCAGGATCTGTGGTGACGAAGGCGTGAGAATTCGCTTCCTCCTCAGGAAGATCCTCAACTTCCGATGTCGTTGTTTGAGTGGGTTCAAAGTCAATGAGCCACGCGGGGCCAGTTTACCAAATTGAATTAGTCACTAAATCGCGGGGAAAAAGTCCACGGAAGCAATGATCTGCCGGATTGGACTCGGTATCAACGTGGCTTTAAGCTGAGATCCGTACGCTGTCCTGAATGCGAGCAACACTGTTGCGAACAAACGTTTTCCACCGATGTGGAGACGAGCGAATTCAGGCAAGGGCAACCTCGGAATCTGACCAGGCATATTCGGCATCAATAGTAAAATGTCCCTGAAAGACTTGACCAAACGTACGCGATCAACGTTGAGAAAAGGAGAGCTGCACAGAGCTCCAAACGAGGTATTGTAATAGGCCGAAGCGGTGCTACCTTAGATTTAGCGCAGAGTAAGCGAATTACTACACCATCTCGCGCAACAAAGCGTAAGTAAATTACGGCTCCATAACCCAGCTCACTGGCATCGCAAAAGCCATAAAGCTCACAACGAACTACATCGCGCGTATCAAACGTGCGAGGAACGCAAAGGGAAGCCAATGCGTCGAACTCAGCTCGATAGCGTTCTCAACTGCGACAGATATCTATCGGAGGCTCGTCATCCCACTCCAACTTCAGCGTCCAATCGTTGTATCAGCGTTGTATCAGACATTTCGCAGTAAACGTGAGTGGAACCAGGAATCTCAAGGGGTCGAAAATACGCGCCAGCTCCGACAATATGGTGCGTTTAGTACATTTGCGATCCAAAGGATTGATTTGAAATCAGAAGCTATCGGATTGAAAATGCCAACGAAGGCCTATTACTTTAAGTGATTGATCCTTGAGCGACTCAAACGATAACATAGATTGGCTACATAACTGCGGGTCGAGTCCATCCAACGCGGCAGGATGGCTACTCGCCCATTTCCTAAGTTCGAAGCCGGCGCTCCGGAGTAGCGATAACAATTGATCTCGAAGCGCGCGAGCCAGTTCCACCGTACGGATGTTAGCCACGACGTCATCCACATAAAGCACCTCAAATAATGCAGCGAAAGCTAAAGGATATTTGTCGCAATATTCGAGAGCTGGAGCAAGCAATAGATCGCCAAGAACGGGGAAGAAGTAAAGCTGAACGTAACTGTCTTGAGGAGGTAATCCAGAATAGGATCCGACTCCGAGAAACGCCAGACAATGCGTTGGTAGTCGCATTGCTCCGGGTTTACCCATATTTGACGAAACATTTGCTTCACATCCGCGGTCAAAGCTACCAGCTCGGCGCAAAATCTAAGCAGAATGGCGAATAAGTCTTGCTGTAATTTCGGACCACTGAGTAATGTGTCGTTTATTGATAGACCGTTCGGGCACTTTGACGAGGCGTTAAACACTACCCGCAGCTTGGTGGTAGTGCTATCTAGTTTGTACACGCCATGGTGAGGCAAATAATAAATGTAACCATCCGACGGGAATGGATCACTAATTAATTTCATATGACCGCTATCGAGATAGTCTTGCATGAAATTATTGTAACTAATTCTAAATTCGGGATTGATTTGAATCGGCGCTCGAGCGCGCGGAGACGACTAACAGCTATAGAACGCGAGTCGACGAATGTAGGAGGATCCGACGCAAAGGGGTACGAAACTACGAAGCGACGCGAGTCGTCACGATAAGTGGTTTTTGCGAAGATCTCCTTACATCGACGATCTTCTTCCGAACAAGAAGTGTGTTCTGGTACTTCTTCCAATTGCTAAAATTGACCCACTGCGGTCTCGATCAACTCGAGAGTGGTAGCGAACGAGTGCAGGGGTGCTACTTGTAACGACGGAGATACCGCGCCCGTCAAGACTTAGCCAAATACTATGTTGAAAGCGTCCGGTTCTCCATCCTTTCCTTTACGACGACCATTACGTAAGACTGAGACAAACGATTCTGCTCCCAGTAAAATGTCAATATTGCCGGGTAAATAATACTCAGGATTCGCGAGCGACAATCCCTTTAAGTAATTCCACGATTGGACTACAACCTTACTATTAGGCAACGGCGATGTAATGCGCGGCAGAACTGTGGCCGCGTGGCCTCGATTGGAAAACGAATATCGGCGCGATCGCGTACACGAATTACGAACGACGTAAGGACCTTCATGATGGCGGCCTTAATATCGTTCAACGCGAATAAGCAACCGTAGCACTGTGCTTGGTCCGACGAAAGCCGCTTTTTCGGAGGCAGCCTTCAGTAACAAAATTGGCCTGGCTCGCGCTATCTAACAATACGCGTACAGGAAACGCGTTGCCGTGTGTATCACCTCTGCTCGGACGGTCGACAACAGTACGACGTTATTGGCGAGACTAGTCATCGTCACGAGCGGTTTATCTTCTGGTTTAAGAACAATCGCTGGGCGGCAGGAGTTGCGGTTACCGGTCCGGCCGCAGGAGTGGAACTAGAGCTCTGCTCGAAATGCAGGAGCGTATGGTGCTTTATCCCGCAGGATCGACATGTCCACGCGGAAGGACAATTTTTCATGCCATGTCCCGAGTGAAGGCAGTTGAGACATAATTTCAAATCGCGAGCGGTAGAAAGTCTCTCCTTCGGCGAAAGTTTGAGAAACCGAGAACATTTTGATACGTAATGTTGCTCCTTACAGACAGGACAGTCTGCTGTATGAGTCACGAACAACGAGACCGACGCAGAATTTTTCAGCGAAGATGAATGCGGTTGCGAAATGGTTGAGGGGCCCAATACGGACGTGAGGACCCGACAGTGATCTGAGAGGAATTTAGTAAGCTGGGTATACTTAAGTATCTCCTCCGCCCGGTGTTCGGATTCGAACTTCTCGCGAAGCGAACAAGGGAGATTTCCTAGCAAGAATTTGAGAAGGAGGTAGTCCCAAGAGTCCGTAGGAAACCTCAACAGGTTCAATATTCTCGATAAATGTGTCCAACAGCGTGTGCAGGGAGGCGGCCGATTCCGATTTCAACGGCTTGGCGTTCAGCATTAAATCCACATGGAAATCCGTCAAATCTCGTTTGTTTTGATATCGCAAAAGTAAGGAGTCGTAAGCTATCGCGTAGTTATCGGCTGAAAGAGGGAAGTTCTTAACGACATTGAGCGCTTCTCTCTTCAACGAGGCCATCAGGTATTTTTCCATGGAGCAGATATTACGGTTCTCGTGAATGGAAACATTCTGTTAGCGAGCAATCTCAAAGACATACAACATCTACTAGAAAAGTTAAATAATTGCTGTATTGAGTGCGGGTTGAAAATCAATTTTAACAAGACTAAGTTAATGATAGTTACGAAGTCACCACACAATCAAAACCAGTTAAATCTAAAAATTGCAAACACCGTCATAGAAAATGTGAAGACTTATAGATATCTTGGAGCGTGGATAAAGCAATCGGGTGACGAAACAAGAGAAATAAGAACGAGAATCGAACTAGCCAGATCAGCTTTTATAAAAATAAGAAAGCTATTTATTAATTGGGACATTGATCTAGGGCTTAGATTGAGAATGTTGCGTTGCTACGTATTCTCCGCACTACTTTACGGGGTTGAAGCCTGGATTCTCAAGAAGATACACTTGGACAAGCTGCAAGCTTTCGAAATGTGGTACTATCGCAGAATATGGCGTAAACCTTGGACTGGCAGGGTTACCAACGTCGAAGTACTAAGTAAAAT